CTCCAGCGTGAGGGGGCCGCCGCCGCCATCACCCATCCCGACGTCGTGCGGGCGATCACCTCGGGTCCCAACCGCCGCATCGCCATCTGCTTCGTCGAATGGGCGTCGGCCAACATGCAGAACGTCGTCATCGACTGGATGGTGATCGGCGATGGCGCGTCGGCGCGTCTCTTTGGCGACAGGCTGATCGAAACGCCGCGCTCGTTCGCCGGCAGCACCTCGATCAGCGCTGCCATCGATTTCGCGGTGGGGCAGTTGGAGCGTGCGCCGTTCGTCGCCGACCGCCGGGTGATCGACGTCTCCGGCGACGGCAACAACATCGCCGGTCGCCTGGTCACCGATGCCCGCGACGACGCGGTTGCCAGGAACATCACGGTCAACGCGCTGGTGATCCTGACGCCGATCGAGGAGGCGTTCCGCCCCGAGCACACCAACCCGCCGGGCGGCCTGGAGAAATACTTTCAGGACAATGTCATCGGCGGCCAGGGCGCCTTCACCATCGTCGCCGAAAACCACGGCGCCTTCGGCCGGGCGATGACCAAGAAGCTGATCCAGGAGATTGCGGGCCTGCCGCGTAACGAACTCGCGTCGACCGATTAGCCAGGCTTACCTGTCGTCCTGAGCGAAGCGAAGGACCTGGCGGAACGACCGAAGCACTCCTGAGCAAGCATTAGATCCTTCGCTTCGCTCAGGATGACACGTCCGGGAGATCTATCGACGGTTCTACTCCGCTGTCGCACCGGACGCCTTGATGATGGGCAGCCACAGCGCCTGATCGTCCGCAATGAGCTTGCGCGCGGCCGCCGGCGTGTCGGGTGGCAGCACCTCGAAGCCCTGGACCAGAAGCTTCTCCTTCACCTGCGGCATCTGGGCGATACGGCCGATCTCGGCATTGAGGCGCGCCACGATCGGCGCGGGCGTGCCGGTCGGCACCGCGAAACCCAGCCACGTGGCGACGACGAAGTCGGGGATACCGGCCTCCATCATCGTGGGCACGTCGGGCATGATGGCCGAGCGGTCCTTGGTGGTGACGGCCAGCGCCTTCAGCTTGCCGGCCTTGATCTGGCCCACCACGGTCGGGGCATTGAAGAAGCCCATCGTCACCTCGCCGTTCACCACCGCGAGGACTGCGGCCGGCGCGCCGCGATAGGGCACGTGCTGCAACTTCACGCCGGTGCGCTGCTCGGTGATGACGCCGGACATGTGCAGGCTGCTGCCGACGCCGCTCGACCCATAGTTGAGTTCGCCGGGCTTGGCGCGTGCCTGCGCGATCACGTCGGCGACGGTGTTGGCCGGATTGGCGGTGGAGACGACCATGACGTTGGTCAGGATGCCGGTCGTCGACACCGGGATGAGATCCTTCAGCGGATCGTAGCCCGGCGACTTGTAGAGGCCCATGTTGAAGACCGTCGCGCCCTGCGAGGTGAGCAGCAGCGTGTACCCGTCGGCCGGCGCGCCGCGCGCCCTCGGC